TATATATATGTATATATATATATATGTATATGTATATGTATATATGTATATGTATATGTATATATATATGTATATATATGTATATGTATATGTATATATATGTATATATATTTATGTACATACATATATACACACATATATATAATTATGTATATATATGTAGTATGTATATATATATATGTTATCATATACGTGTTTCAGCAGAGCCTCAGCTGGTCTCTGTTAATTGTCATATTCAAAGCTGCTTCAGGGTTCTATGAGGTCTGGAAGGGATGCTGGTTGAGGATTATGTAAATGAAGGGCTTACCGTATAATGAGCTGGTGCTCAGGGACCACCTTGGTTTCTCGGCCTAACTTGATCATTAACTTCGAACTTTTTTACTGGGCTTACCCTTAAAGATGATCAACTCAGAGACTCTACTGATCCTACTCGGGGTGTCTGCAGTAGGGGCATTCAACATGGAGTTGGCAGAGAAGACAGGGATTCATACTGACAAAGGTTTTTGGAAGCCTCTTGGTTCCGTTTTTGGGTTGTTTTTTGTCTATCAATTATCATAACATTGTATACCGTGATGGGACATGCAATGACGGACATTTGATGGGACAAGGAACACAAGCATTCAGACGGGTTCGATGGTCCCACAGTCCTCGGGATGATGCTCATTTTAGACGATTCCTAGCAATTTATGTCCTGTACCAACATTTAGCATCAAAGCAGGAAGCAGTGTGTCCTTAAAATCAACTAAAAGTTGCAAGGATGCCTCCAACCAGAGGAGCACTGTGGCCCCCCGACCTATAAGAACAGGTACCTTCACACAAACCCAGAAGATTCTTGGCTAAGATGAGATGTTAAAACATTCTGGGTTCCCATCAGAATTGAACTGTCACAATCTATATTTGCATAAATCAAAGATCTGTGAAACGTTTGAATAAATCATATCCAGTCAGGAATCCTGCAGTGTAGTCAAGGGAACAGCTTGATGCTCAGCTAAAACACTGAGGCCCAGTCTTCTTTCCCCTTTAGCCTTTTTTACTCACATGGCCTAGATTCTGTGTGAACACACACACACCACACACACACCACACACACACACACACACACTGGTGAGTATTGACTGTGCCTATTGACCTGCTCTCTTAAAGGGATCCCAGTGCACTAATGTGCTGTACTTATCTGAGCCTCTACAACCCTGTCAGACTGCCAGCAGTCACAAAAGATGCTGAGGCGAGCAGCTTGATGAAACGAGGCCCTGCTCTATTTTACCCTCACTGCTTTACATTCTGTCACTGCTGTGGCCTACATTCAGTGTGGACGCACACACACACACCACACACACACAGCGGCAACGAAGCTCACGCCCGACGAAGTTCAATGATTTATTGATTGTGAAATCCAAGGTGGAGCGTGCAGGAGATGTGGGCCTGATGGAGGTCAGCTGCCAGAACCGTGACATCTCATCGTCAGAGTCCATCAAGTCTCACTGACAGAGAGAGAGAGAGGGAGCACGAAACAGACCAGACAAGGAGATGACAACTTTGGCACTGTAGATAAAGAATAGCTTCAGCTTTTTCAAGTGTATTTTAAAGATTAGATTCGATTCAACTTCCTCCTTGCCTCACGACCATGCTTGCTTGAAAAAGGGGGCGTGGCTCTACTGCAGTCCACATTAGATGATGTGGAACACTGTGATTGGCTTCTAGACATACAATTAAATATGTGTCTGCATTCGGTTGCAGTCACAGTAAACATAGATTTAGACATCAACAAAGGTTATGTCAGTTGGAGTAGTCCGGGGGATGTGATGTGTGGGTTGATGTTTTTCGAGCCCTTCCCCACACTGCCCTGTTCACCACGGGTAGACTTGTCTACCGTTATATGCCTGTACCAGCTACATCATTGTTGGGGTCAAATCTGAAATCATAAGCCAGGCTCTGGTATGATCACCACGGTCAGACTGGGGAAAACATGGGCTCCTGTGTGCTGCTGTATCTGCACATTGGCTAAAAAAAAAAAAAGGACAAAAAGTCCGTTTCACAAAATCTGATCAGAAGTCAGATTTCTTTGCTTATAACATTTACTTTTTAAATGACTTTAACTTTGGACATTAAATTGTATGTCAGATTTAATAAAAATCTAAAACATAAATTTGAATATTTGAATTTCTTTGCTCAGTGTATACCAAACCATATTTGGATTGTTTGAATGAGTTGATTTCGTTTTGTCGTATAGCATATACAGTATAATAAAACATATCCGGTATAAGTTTTACTCTTATTTGGGAAAATCACATTTTTCCACTAGTATTCATTTCTCATCTAAAACTAAGAATCATTCAAACATTTGATCAAGCTGACTAAGGTTTATGTTTATCATCCCCAATGACTGACTGTCCTGTTTACAACTCTCACTACATGGAAGACATATGAAGGACTGAGCTGTAACACCTAAAGAACAGGCAGACACCCAGAGTTCCCATTCCATTTATTAGATATTGTTTATAAATAGACACACTCACACACATATGTTGAAAGTATAAAAAAATACAAGATTACAGAATTTTCTAGACATTTTAGTGAGGTCTCTTCTTCCTTGTCTTTGACACGTTATTTCAACTTGAATGAGTGATGAAAATTCATTTATTTTTCCTTACACAGCATAGTTTTAACTTTCACAAGTCCATTCATCGAGCAATTTACTGTCATCGATGTCATGTTAAAATGATCAGAGCATATAAAACAGTCACATGCAGCCAGCAACTTCTCACGGAATCTGTACAGCTCGTCCTGTCAGCCAGTCAACTACTGTAACTCAGTGAAACAGCTTTTCAAATATATATGTACTTTAAGTTTCACTGTACTTTGTCTTACAAATTCTAAGGAAAGCTGATATCACAAGGGAAGAGGTTGAAATGGGGAACAATGATTAATTAATTAATGATTACCGAGGTCTGATTGACAAAATACTCCTTCACGTCTTCCGGATATGTTGAGCCATTTGACAAATGGGGTCAAATCATTTTTAAACAGTTTTGTTATTAGCATACAATATGTTTCAGCTACACTTTAAATCATCACCAGTCTGCTGGCAGGGAATTTGGGATTTAGGACACTACAAAACAAAATCAAGAAATGTATGTATCTTGAGAGACGAGGCAACATGGCTGAGTTGCATTGATACATGTTTCTAAAAATTCTGCAAACAATGAATGAGCAATGCAAAGGTTCTCATTCGCTAAAACCAAATAGGACAATATAAATCACACATGTAATAAACCTAGTGCAGCACAAATACACAACTAATGTCTTCTCACGCTTTTATGTACCATATAGCTACTGTGCCAAATCTGGCTCACCTCGTTCTAAGGACAATAACTCCTGCTGCTAATTCATATATTTTTTTGTTTGTAAATATATCTAAAAATACAACTCATCAACTTCAGTGTTATAGGAAATTGCATGATTTACTTGGTATTATACCAAGTTTAGTTTTTGTCACTATCACTATTCACAGTGTTTAAAACTGAACAGCACGGGCCGACACCTACTGTGTGGCTGCTTACTGGCACCATTTCAACAGCCAAGTTCAGTAGTGCTCCAGTAATTCTGAAGAGCGGATTCAAAGAATTACTGAACTTAGCTTGAATTTCTCCAGGGCAACTCAAAGAGGAAAATGTTCACTTTCAATATAGTACTTCTACTTAAGCAACAATAAGACTTCGTGCCTGTTTTTATTGATGTTTTAAGTAGCACACCTGTCACGTGTATAATAATATAATATAATAACTGAATAAACTCCTTCTACAGGAATGTGGTTAAGTCATGAAGCAACTTTGCATAGAAAGTATTTACGAAAAATAATGTTTCATATTTTCTGTATGATTAACCACTTGAGTCACATGTGAAAAATAGTAACGTTATACTCACAGAGATGGACTCTCTCTCTCATTTAAAGAGGCTAAGTTGAAAAAAAAACATATTGATAATTATTTGCACAAATAAAAATACCATAATGTGAGATTAGGTAATCCCTACCAAAGGGAATGTGTTGTAACAGTGAATGACCAGGATACAGACAAATGACTTGTGGATAAAAGATGTGTGCTTGTTAAAAAGATTAAAACAAATAATGTACTATACTCATTCAGCACCTGACAGGAAATATTCTGAAAAAGAATAATACTGATCAAGCAGACATGAATATATATCATTCTGTTAACAAAATACTTATCTACAAATGTTTGTAATTGGATTGATATATAAATATGTGAAACAATTTATATGTATTTCTATACATATATATTTACAACAATAGGTGCACTTAAATAATGTCATCAAGGAGATGCGGGGTGCCGACCCAGTCCAACGTCCTGGGCTCCGAGGCAGCCATAATCATGCACATGAATTGTTTGCCGGTCCTCTTATCGATAGGATAAATAGTTGTGGGTGTGAACCTTCTGTTACTTTCCACAAACTCACAGAGCTGCTGATATACCTGTGGGTATTCATGGCGTAGGAAAACCCCTCGAATCCTTAACTCCCGTTGTATATTTATAAAACATATTTCCCTGGCCTTCCTGCCTTCCTCTCCCTCTTTGTCGATATCTGCTGTTCCAGGGGGTGGGGTGAGGATCAGCGTTTCCATGTCACTCTCTTTCTTGTGAACCTTTCTCTCAGGGCTGAAGGAAGCCAGTGCTACCTTTGCATATTTTCTGACAGTTGGAGCTTGGTTTCTTGGAGATGGCCCATCAGGTAACTGGTCACCAACAGCAATGGATACATTCAAGATGAAACATTCGTTAGGGTCGTACTCGGTACCAGCTTCCTGCAGCTCCTTACAGTACTCCCCTAAGTTGTCCTTGAAGCTTTCAAGCTCTCGGAGAGACAAGTATGTAGGAGACATAAGTAGACTATCCAGGCCGTACTGCAGGAATTTACTGGATGACACTGGATTTGGAAAACCAAGGAATAGAACTCCTCTACCTCGAGAAAGATAGCCAACTTTGGCAATACGGGAGAAGGCTTTGTGGACTTCAACAGTCTCCCGGCAGTGTTTGATGATGTGACGACATATGCTGCTAATTCTGCCATACAGGCAGCTTTCTTTATGAATGTCCCAGTCCTCCCTGCGGCAGTTACGAGAGCAGTAGTAAGTGTAGCAGCTGTGGCAGGATTTAAAATATAGGCAAGCATTGAACAGGGTCTCCGTCCTCCGGCATTTGTTGTTCGAGCACATCATTGTATCATCCTCATCTGGGCTCTGATCTGGAGAGCACTCATCTGCACTCTTCATTGCATCACTGGCTCCGTCCATGTCTCGAAAAGCATCAGGATTCATTCTTATTGAGGTTGGCTGCTTGTCAAGAGGAGCTGGTTCATCTGTATATGCCTTTGAGCTCTTTCTGGACAGAGATACTGCTTCTTCCTCATCAATCAACTTCTTTAGCTGATCAAGAATGTCCTCACTTGCCCTTCTACTGGGTGGCTTGTAATCAGTCACAAGATCTGCCAGAAGCTCATCAAGTTGTTCAAGGCTTTGCTGTAGTGAGGCATTGTCATGTATCTTCTCTTTGGTTGAGCTTTCAAAGTCTCGCTGAAATGGTTCTGGACCCTCGCTGCTTCTGGAGTCAAGAATGTCCCAACTGGCAGACCGTCTTTCAGCCTTAATATGTTTCCCTGGTCGAATGTCATTATCAGTGATTGTTATTTCAGGAGTGACAAACCAGAGTTTACTATTAGTGCTCTTTGATGTCTCTGTTGGGCTTTTGTCAATTAGTGAGCTATCAGACATTGATAAGGCTGCATAGCGTCTTGGTGAACTGGAGAGATTGACTACCACTGGTTCTGGTTTGTCACCTGTGGCTGCTGCAGGCTTCCTGGAGTCAAGAAGATCATCATAGCTCTGACCCCGCTGTACAGGAAGAGGTTGTTCCCTCTCTACACGAGAGTTGAGAATATTGTCCCAGGACCTTGAGTAGGATTTTGATTCTGTGCCAATTCTTTGAGGTTCTACACATGGGTTGGCATACCATGGTGTTAACACAGGCTCTTGACGGACTCTGGTTGGGGTGACTTGAGATACATAAGAGGCAGGATTGGTGGAATAACCAGATGCATCTGAGCCATACCAGTCATCTGTTTGTGCCTGAATAACTCTAGCATGTCTTCGGCCTTCCGTGTAATACGCCCTTGCTGGAATATGATGCTCTGGAGGCATTGCATACATGTCGCTGGAATAATAAATCCTTGGAGGAGCAGTCTGTATTGGATAAGATCTTGGATCATCCCCACAAAATATTCTTGTTGGAGGTGTCTGTATGATGTATGGCCCAGGTTCATTTGCTGCATAGGGTTTGGGATACCCTGTCTGCACAGAGTATTGATAGGGCTCCATCTCAGGATAATAGGGTCTTGTAGTTACAGCATGCACCATTCGAGTCCTTGGATCTTGCACATATTGCACTTTTGGCGTATATGTTTGTCCTGGTGTGTAACGTTCATCATGAAAGCCAGAACTTGGTTGAGGAGGAGCAGTAGTCACATATCTCCCTGGATCATCTGCATAAAAGAACTTGGTTGGCACATTGGGACTAGAATGAGCTCTGCGTTCCCTTCCATGGTAATCACCTGATGAAGGCATTCTTTGCAAAGGAATCTCCATAGGTTGTATGTAACTATTTGGCATGCTGCGGGAATATTGATAAGCTTGCCTACCCTCTGTGCCGAATGAATCGGTGGGAGTTGGTGTTCTTGAGTAGGAGAAATGGCGTGGCACAGTCAGACTCCTACTCCCCCCACTGTGGTGCCTCTGCCAGGGTATGTCCACTTGATGTGTAGCCTGTTTTCGTCCTGAATGATGTAATGCTACATCATCAGGTTTTATGTCAACTCGACACCTGACATGAGGACTAGTTGCTGGTTTATCCAGCCCTCCATCCTCAGAATTATCACCAGCATAGCTTGGTGAGTATCTACTGCTGTCACTCATTTGAGGCTGCAACTTAATTGGATGGACGTCATGCATATGAGCCCTAGTTGCTGCGTGGGAGGACTCCCTACGCGGTGATACTTCAGGCCTCCAGCGAGAATCTCTTGGAGCCCTTTGGGACTCCCTGCCCTTCCTCCCTGAAGATGAGGACCCTTCAAAAGACACAGGGGTGAGACTGGTCTGGACTCGAGGGGCACTTTTGGACCTGGTCCTTCTTTTTTGTTCAGGGACAATGACTTCACTGGTCATATCTGCAGCCATTGGTTGAGGAGTTAATCTATGGCTGAAAATGTCCGGAGCAGAAAAGCGGTATCTCTGCTGGCGGCCCAAGGCGTTCCAGGCAACATCTGGGTTGGCTGCATGCCTATCAGCCTTCTTGAATGGGGACTCCATTGAGTACTTGTGTGATTTTGGGTACTCCAATGACCTGTAGTCAAAGGAACGACAGTGTCTCTTATTGACTTTGCTCTTACTGTCCTCCAGTGTGCTGTAATGTATAGAATCACATTGTTTGGAGGGTTGCAAGGACTTGTAGTGTGAAGAAATGGAGACCACTTTAATATCTCGATGCACAGTTGATACCAGTATGTCAGGAGGGTCTGTGCGTGTCATCTTAAAGGGACTCCTCTAGTTTTCGCCATCAAGTTGCTTTAATGTTGATGTTGCCTAGAGAGGTGAACAAAGAATTGTAGTTAGGGACAATAAACCAGGCAATACAAATGTGTTCCACCAAGTACCCATGGAGAAGAAATACTATTCAGTATGGGTTACGTTTTACAAATTAGTCTCTTGACTAAACTATGGCAGAAATAATAACTACAATTTAGAATATGTATATGATTCAATATATGAGCAGGTTTGGTTGTGGTACAAAAAAGAGCTGTATTGCAAATTAGTCTATGAATGTTCTGCTTGCAATTATCTTTAATGTAGAAACATGCTGACAGGTTTGTTTAATGAAATATTTTTTGGTGTAATTTAAGTGGTTAAGGGGTGGTGAAAGATTTCTGGGGAACTTTAGCCAGAATAGATGGGCTGAATCCTTCACTGACATCGAGAGACGTCAATATTTATATCTGAATATTAGTTATTCTCTGCATGTTCAGGATTATGTAGAAACATTAGTGAATTTCCAAATAATCTTTTGACAGTGATGTGATGTGATTTGTTTTGTTCAGTAGTCAAGTACTAACTAATACACTTGTGGGGAAACATGTCACTTAGTTTGGGTAGAAATGGGATGTCCACTAAATTGTAATCTTAAAACTAACTATAAAGGCATTTACAGCTTCTTCACTTCCATAAACACTGAATACTCCTGTTGTTACTAAAGCTTGAAGGATTTTTAAAGAATTAAACTGACACAAAAAAATGAGCTCATCACATCACATCACATGTTCCTGATGTCTTACTCTGTAAGAGCATATTCATCTAAAGGCTGAAATAAATAGCTCTGAGTTTTGACTTCATGCTTTGTTGATAATGATGACGTTGATAATGTCTTCAATGATGAGAATGGCATCAAAAGTATGGCCAAATGAGTCTAAATCTATATTTGGCATGTAGCACTGGTTATTCTGACAATAAGCAATACAGTAGTGATGTTATCAAGTATCTTTTTGTCTTGCAAAACTGCAACTAATAAAGTCAACTTTACTTACACAATGTCAATGTACTAATGGGCTTTACAGGCCCACACCTTTGCATCAATATCAGGCAGTGCAGACGTTATGGTAACCTGAGGCGTTGCTACACGCCCCATTGAGCCATGTCTGTGAGAGGGGAGCTCCATTTTGTTTGCATCACAGCATGCAGAAATGCAATACACATTCCTGTGGACAGTTTTGCGCTGTCATACTAATTTGCACTTAGTTGTGGTAGTGCACCAACAGTCGTGGCAATGTGCCAGCAAAGGCAGGAAAGAAGAAGACAGTAGCAAGCAAACACAGATATAAACAATACAGGATTTGAAAGTATAACAAAAAGGCTTTTCTGATATATTTAAGGAAAAAAATGCACTCAGCACTCTAGTTAGACCTCAAGGATACACACGATGTGTAAGTGTTTGTTTACTCGACAAATGCTGCCGAGCTTCCGGTTGAACTGAACTCTTACTCTTTGTCTGTATGTCTCTGAATATGCTGCTGCTAATCCAAGGATCTTCCTGATGGGCCAGAGGAGTGCATCAAGTCCAACAAAAGTCACCAATTCTGAAGTCAAAGTCAAGTATTTTTGTTTCGTCAAGCCTCTGTTATCATGAGACAGTATCAGTGTGAGACTATAAGTAAGGCTACAGACAAGATTGAAAGCACAGCTTTTTACAAATAATATTGATGGTATAATCTGATTTGTGTTGTGATACGTTTGTACTATACTTGTGAGGACATATGCGTTCATGTTATATTGCCTTATCTTGCCCCTAACCCATGCCTTAACCATCACAACTAAATGACTACCCTACCCTACCCGAAATGAACCTAAACTTCATTCTAACCTTAGCCGTTGTGAAGCTCAAAGTGGGTGGCTCTGGCATTGACGGACAACACAGACTAACTCCTGGCTAATCCAAAAATGTGAAAAGAGGTTGTTCATTGGTGGAGCTGACAAGTCTCTGGTAAAGCAGCTTCATTTCTCAGCACCGGAAGTTGCCGCTTGGGAGAAATGTGCTTCTGGTGTGACCGGCTGCATACTGCGGTCCCTTTCTTCTGTTGCCTGCACTGCAGCACACATGACGGTCAGAAGGGGACACTACCATATCAGCAGAGTTAACGTCATGCACAGCAGACTATAGATACTAAATACTATGACTTTATTCTCATTTAATGATTCATTTATTAAAGTAATATTGTTTTTTTTTCAAGATATTATAACTCCTCAAAGAATAAGATATGTGGGATGTTTTGAATGTGCCGTAACTTTTGAAACTTTTTTTTAACATATGAGCTGTTAAAGTTCATTAAAATTAATCAATGAATCATTGAGGTGAATTTGTGCCTCATGCTCTTTTAAAGAGGTTTCTTGCCCCCAAAAAAGTGACAAAAGAGGATGCAAGAGTAAACGACACATGCCCACATGTGTTGACTCAGCAGAGATGACATTACATGAGAGATGTTGATTTACAGGAGAATTAGTCTTTTCCTTTACATAAATAAAGATATTTACAACATGAACTGATGCAGAAAATAATCACCAGAATGTAGGAAATGAAGTGTTTGATGCTCAAAATTTCCTGCGGGAAGAACCCAAGACATACAGTATGTCCCCACCAATGATTAAACCAAACCCTGGCCCTCGGTCATGGGTCATAGGTCAGCCACCATTTTCAGTGATGAGGCCTTACATTGGCTTAAGTCAAGGATTAGCAAAATGCAGTGAAAAGCCTTTAATTTGGTGCCAGTCACTCATGACTTGTAACCCAGTGAATGATAAATGATGCTATTTGGTGCCTCTGATCTCAATGACTGCACTCGCTACTACATGAATTTCACATATGATTTAAAAGGCAGCAGTTTAAAAGTATGCAGGAATTGAAAGACATAATACATACATAATTAAAGCTGCGAGCAGCATTGATCGGGCCCTCGCAACTTCACGCACGTCGAGGGTACTGGCAGGACTCTTGTTGACGTGGCCGTGCATTTCTGTGACCATCATACACTGTGTGCACGAGTGAGATGATACGTATTTCCTGCGTCGACCAGCAGCGTAGCAAGATCATGTTGCCAGGTCTTAAGCCTAAAATGTTTTGAGTGTACCTCCGATACAATCATAAATGTAAGCCTGTTAAGATCATTAAGAAAATAAATGTGTGTGAATGCGCTTCAGTGTTTGTAACATAACAGATATGGGGTTCAACTCCCTGCAGTGTCCTGCTGATTGTATTTGGACTTACATGAAAGTTAACAAAACAGTAGTGCCATTTGCTGTTACTTGAACACTTTAATTTAACACTGTTTTAATTTTAAGTTCTTCTGTAACTTTAGATTGTTGTGTGAAGCATTCATTATAACGTTTAACCTGATTGTCATGAAGAAGCTCTAAACAGATCATTTATACTAATACCCACTGACATGGTTTGAAAATCTACTGTTATTCAGTGTGGCTTTGTGGCACAAGGCAGTAAAACTGCCTGTGCCAAAGCACACTGTATATTATCCATCGGGCTTAATCATAATCATCCGATTTATCCAAAAGTTTGGCGCGCCTCTCCTCACACAGCATTGCCAACAGCGGCGTGAAAAATACATCAAAACATGCGGCCTGATCGGGAATAGTGCGGAAACTATTTTTCGGAGAGATTCGCCCAGCGGTTTTCCCGAAAATCCCGGAAAACCCAGAAAAACGGAGCAAAATTAAGTTTGGCGCGCTTCTCCTCACACAGCGTTGCCAACAGCGGCATGAAAAATACATCAAAACGTGCGGCCTGATCGGGAATAGTGTGCTATCTATTTTTCGGAGAGATTCGCCTAGCGGTTTTCCTGAAAATTCCCGAAAATCCCCAAAAACTGAGCAAAATTTCTCCATTCACTTGAGGGGTTTCGTCGTGAGAGCTAAAAAAACACTTAAATTTGGGCCCATATTGACTAGCCGTACATTAACGTAGAAACATGATTCAAAGTTTAAAACGTAGACAAAATGCTGCACTTTATTGAGCCAAATGGACATTTTGATAGCTAGCACAGTTTTCATGAAGTCACAGATTAAGTTTCAGGAAAATTTTGGGTCTGTTTCAGATTTTATAATGGGTGTGTATTGCGCAGCTCGTTAAGAGCTAGAGTGAGAGCATAACCGTCAGAGTGGAGCGGAGCAGGAAAATATTATGTGATTTTTCCAAACAAATTGCTCCAGCTCCCACAATTTTTACTCTTTATACACCATTTTTGGCCAAAAAGCTTGGAAATGTTGTGCTGTCGCACACAGATGTCTGTGGAATCCAACGGAGTTACACATTTGGCTCAAAGAGCCACAGAGCGACATGAACTCCAACCAACTGCTCCATTAGACTCCATGTTAAATCTGACCACTCATTTCTCAAAGAAAGCAGACGGTACCAGTTTTGCATATTGCGCTGGAGCTCACATTTTTAAGACCACAAACATAAAAAACACATCTCCGCGTTTGCCAGAGTCTTATCTCTCTGACGGTATCCATATTTTATTGATTAGTCTCATGGTTTTGGTATGAAGGGCATATGTTTGACAGGTAGTTTTGTTGAAAATCACTGTTCACTCTAATCTCTCTTAATTAGCCTCTAACACACAGGTGCTCCAATCACCAACATGCACCCAAGCACACAGGTGTTTATATGAGCTCATTAGTGATGTTGATAAACACACAGAGGCACTGAGACACACACTCACACACACTCCTCTCCCTCTATCTCTCTGTCTGTCTCTCTCTCTCTGTGTGTCTCTCTCTCATACAGTCATTCAGGTCTTAGATATTTTTTAGAGGACTTTTCCCCTCTCACCCCCCTCCCCCCATTTCAAATTAAAAGCCCCACAGAATGAATTCTAACTGGAATGCTTGTGATGAAGCCTCTCATTTTAGTGTCAAACATTATGATTCTGTCTCCTCTCCCCCTCTCTCACCCACCCAGTCCCAGCCTTTCAAAATAAAAGCCCCACAAATACAAGATTCAATCCAAGAGTATGAATCTAAAATGC